GGGCTCATCGATGTTTCTTAAATAATAAATGTATTTGTTATTACATTCTGTATTAATTTTGTAGTGTATTTATGTAACTATACAATATGTTTTTAAATAATTACATAATTCTAACACAAAAAATATTTAAATCAATTTTGCCAAATAAAGGAAGATAACAAATTAAAACTCTAGGCCTTTTGCGAGGACCATGGCGCCAAACCTCCCCCCCTCCCCCCGATCTCCTTCCCATTTGCAAGTGGAGAACAAATTCAGTTCATTACATAGTAGCATTTTTTTATTTATTATTAATATTACTATTTTTTATTTTCCTCTGTACAATTTTTTATTATTTTATTATGCTGTAGGTGTGGTCTTATTGGATTTGGAAGAAAAAGATTTACCTGGAGTGGCATATCGTGTGGTAGAACAAATGGTTGTAGAAGAATTAATTGATTCAGAAGATAAGCCAACAGTAATGCGAGCTCTCCTTCTTAGACATAGACATGTAAATGATCACGATCGTTTTCGTTTTGGCATGAAGAGGACATTTTCCAGTTATACCAGTTTACAGGTAATTTGTCTATTTCAGAAATTTTTTTAGTGCTGTGTAATATTTTGTGTATTTAGAATATATTTCTTTGATCTTTTAGGGAGCTTTTTTTTTTTCTTTACTCTTGTTGACAATATTACATTAGTAATTTAATAGTATTTTTAATGATATTCAATGTACAGATAATAGGATTCAAGAGGCACAGTGATTATTGAGAGATGGATTGATAAAATTTTCAATACTTAAAAATTTCAAGTCTGAATATTTTTATAGTCCACTTACTTGTCTAGAGCTTATGCGTAATTTGCTTTCATTTATTAATTGTTTATAAAATCAAAACATATAATGTGACAGAGGTGTCAAAACAATAATTGTTACCCTCAGAAATCTTAGAAATTCTGTAAGCCTATTTTTAATTACAAATTCCTTATTTGATAAATGAAAATTATTTGTGATTCAAAATAAAAATAAATAAATTTAAAAAAATTAGAAAACGAAATTGTCAACTACAAAAGTGGTACAGGAAAAGAAATTAATGCTTTTAGAAGAAGAGGTTTATATTAAAATAAAATGACGCAATTCAAATTGCATTGTCGATGAACAGATGACCTTAATCATTGAAACAATTTGAATGAAAAACCATGTATACTTCTTCACTCTCTTTTAATTTTATATCAGTTTGTTTCGATATACTTTTATGATGGTTCTTATTTAACATAGTTATATTTATATTATTTAAATAAATTGGAAACAATTTACCATCACCCATCTTGAATCTTTTGCAAATAATGAATTGTTCAGAATCTGTACATTGCAAATAATTATTAATTAAGACTGAATTTTCGTTAACTACTGTTTCAGGAAAGAAAATAATAGTAATTCGAAACGTTTTTAGGTATAAACACTCAGTAAAATATTTAACAATTTTTTTAATTGTTAAAAATATGTATTTATAAATATATGGTCATTGTTGTGTTCACAAAATATTATACTTGGCATTAATTAAAGACACGATTTGGAAGAAGTGTTATTTTTTTTTTTGTCATCCTATGGAACTTTCATTTTATGAGCTCAAAGTTATGAAAGCTTTTGTAAATATGTTTGAAATTTGATATTTAATATTACTGATTTCAATCTAAATCAAATAAAAAATGTTAATTTTATGACCAGAGTGTTTGATTAAGTGTTCCTGTTGTTTAGCCAATGTGCTAATGTCATTTTGCAATACGTGTTCTCATTGTAGATGTTGAGGCAAGTGCTTGTGGGTTTTTAAAACAATGGTAGAAGTAGTTGCAATATTTAAATCAACACTATAGGTTTAATGATATCCAAGGAATGCATTTCACTGAGGAATTCCTCTATATTATAATTATTATTATTATTATTATTATTATTATTATTATTATTATTATTATTATTATTGTTGTTGTTGTTGTTGTTATTGCTGTATTGTGTTTTAAGTGAACATTTGTAAATTTCCTGTTTTTAACAAAAAAGAGACATGTAAAACAAATAATACATTTATTATAATAATATTGTCTTCAGTGATGTGTATTTCTGCAAAATTTTAAATAGAAAATACAGTACTTAGTATTTGCAGTTGTATTTTAATAATGATCACATGACCAGATATATTTTTATATCAATGTAAATGTACCTATGGTTTTTGGGTATGTCTGTCCATGTCTGAATTCCTGTTGTGGCAGTCTTTGTCATTGATGGAAGACGATGAAGGGATCGGGCAATTTGAGAGCGAAGGAGACACTAGAGAATTCAACCATGTAATTTCTTATTCGCTGTCTCCAGTAGACTGATGCTGTTTTGCTGTTCCCCAACAGTTCTTAGTTCTCTTGAATGCCTTGCTGTGTCCAAGCCATCCAGGAATGCAGTTAATCGATTGTAGATAAGGGATTATATTGTGCACTCCTGGGCATCCTCAGAGCTCTGCATGCAATTTCATCTTGAAAATTCCAAATTTTCCAGAACAGGAAATGAAAAAGTAATTTGAGTTATTCTCATAATTACTTAATTTTCTCATTCACTTATTTGCTGAATAGATTTTATTTTTATGCTAATGGTAGCATATATGTTCCAGGTCATTTGCTAAAAACTGCAATGCATGCACACTCTTTACCTCTTTCTCTTAAGAATATGTTCATTGCCTTTACATTTCATCACTCTTGGATACATCTTACACCACCTACCTTAAATATTTTGTTAAGGAGTTTTTTAGAAACTTAGGAGCCGTAACATTTGAAATATTTTGTGCCACTGCTTTGGTTCATTCTTATAAATGTGGAGAAATCCATAAATGTTTTGTTAGCCAGTTATTTATTACAATATCCTCAATAAATATTTTAAATATTTTCCAAAATATGGACATTTTAAAATGTTTTTATCTATGTTGTTAATTACGTAATCTTGTCATATTATCTTAGTGGACTAATATATATATTAAACTTTTTGTGATAATTTTTCATTTATCAGCTTCTGTTCTTAAATAGAAGTTCATTTATTATTTATAGAAGTTTACACCACCACCAGTTTATCTATAATTTTAGATTACTTTATGTCACGTCAAGTATGATGTAAGTTTTAAGATAAATGTAAGGTCTTTATTAATATAGATGACTTCAGTAATAATAATAAAATATTGAATTTTTGATAATCATGTACAATTGACAAAAGAAAAAAGAAACAAAATTGGTAAGGTATAAAAAGCAGATGTCTCAAAAATTTTAATTGTTGACCATTTTAATCGTCAACTATGAGTACGATGAAGAAATTTAGATTCTGTGAGTCTTTTATATTAGTTCCCATTGTAATGAAATATATGATTGACTATTGATATTTAAATGTTATCTCTCTGAAAATGTTATCAATTATATTTTTCTTGTTTGTTTTTTGTTGTTGTTTTTTAAATAAGATGCTTATTGGTAAATTTTTTCTGGAGTATATTTGCCAAGAATCGTTAACATTTTATTACAAGATTTTCTACTGATATTTATAATTATGTATTTTGGAGAAATTCTTTGATAACTTCTTTGTGTGGAGGAAAAGTTTAGTCATTAACACTGTTTTACAGTTTTTATTGTTTAAGTATGTGTAGTAATATGTATCCCATTTGCTGTTTAATAACAGTATACATTGCTGACCTCAACACATTTTCTTTGATCAGCATGCTATTTGAATTATTACTCTTTCTTTTATTAATTGAATTTTGAAAGGAATTCCAGAATCAAAACTTGATAAAAAAAAGAGTGTAAGTCAATTCATACACCACAGATGCATGTCAAACTGCTTTAACACATTGAAAAAAATGCTTTTGCATTTATGCAAAAGAATTAAATGTAATAATATATTACTTTCTCTACTTTTAATTTCATCTCAGCACATTCATTTTATATTCAAGCAATGTGCATGTTTCATTTCATATTATGCCTGCATGTTTTTAATTAAATTTCTATTAGTAACTTGTAGTTTCAAAATTGTGTATCAGCTGTAATGTGTACTCTATTCTTCGTAGAGATTTTAAAAATTTAAGGAATAATATGTCATTACATATTAAAAAGTTTTACTTGTATTAATTTACAGTATTTATTTTGAAAACCTTGAACACAAATCATAGTCTGATACGACATAAGGAAATCAAATGGAATTTATATTAATACTACCAACTCTTTCAATTTTTTAAATGTTTAATTATTTTATAACTAGTGCTCAACTTCCATGCATCACTATATTTGTGTAATGTTATCTGTTTTTGTCATGTTCAGAATTTAAATGATGACAAAGGGAAACCTAAGGTAGTTGCATCTATGTCAAGTATGGACACAATGACAGCTAGCAAGCTAAGTAATAACAATGCTGGTGGTGCAGATGGTGAAAGTAAATCAGAAAATCATGTGGTATGTATCAAATCTCTAATCCAAAGTAGGCTAGCAAAAGTTAACATATTCCTATTTTGTATGTAAATGTATTTAATTAGTCAAATAATGAATTCAGTGAATCATATATATGAAAAAAAATTCAGTTATGAATTATTGAATAATATACAACTAAAAATAAATAAATTTAAAAAGAAACTTCAAACAAACATTTTGGTACTACCTGATTGAGTTTGAGTTAGAAATGAGCCCCTTGCTGGATCAATTGTAAGTTCACTCAACCTTTGTGGAAAGTCCATGTTTAATTTAGACATGGGGAGTCTTTCTATTTTTTGAATAAACATAGTAGGTAGATGACATCTGAGAAGCTATTTTAATTTGATCTCAAAACCTGGCAATGCTGTATTGAGGTTTGATAAGCATCCTGTATTGTACTTCGCAAGAAGCTCTTGTATCAAGTTTTACTTTGCCTTGGATTTTTGATATGTGAATAAGTTTGGTACCTTCATTTGTTTGATATCGTATATCCTTTATCCAAAAATTAATTAGTTGCTATAAATAGTGATTTTCATGGATCAGTTTTGCACATTGGAAATGGCAATTTCTGCTCAGACATCTGAAAAGATTTGCTCTGCTTTGCTGAGTATACTGTAATCCATAAAACTTGTTTCCAATTTTTCGAAAAAGTAATTTTGAACTTTCTGAGCTCCATCTGACAACTGTGACTCATTTGGTTCAATGTCAATTGACTGAAAAATGACTGAGAGGTCAATTATCAGTAACAACCTGATAAATGGTTGTGCCACTCAAGAATGTATAGCTACTGAATATAAAGAGCAATCTTGAGACATAATTGTTCTTTGGGTAGTAAAATTCTCCTTCATGCAGCCAAGGACTGGAGCAGACCTGGTTCATAACAGTAGTAGTAGTAGTAGTAGTAGTAGTAGTAGTAGTAGTAGTAGTAGATGTAATAATAGTAATAATAATTAATAATAATACCAATAATAATAATAATAATAATAATAAATTTATATATTATAATAAAGAACCTGTTCTTGTCCTTTTGGCTTTACTCAATAAGTTTGTGGATGAAATATGAAAAACTACTGTAGATGATAAGGATTTCTTTGAAAAAGAAAGGTTAATTTTTATGTGCAGAAAGCATGACCAAAAGGCACATAATTTATTTACTCTCCTATTAGCAGAACTGGAATTGATGACCTCTTTTCTGTCATAAATTTATTAAAGTTGTTTCTATTCTGACTGAAAATAATTCTAAATTAATGATTAATCTTTTCGCTTTTCCTTCAATTTTAGTTCTTGGGAATGTTTAAATTTAATACAAAAAATAAAATGGCTAAGTCTTGTTTGTGAATCTGTGTTGTGAATGTTTTCTCAGATTGACGTTAAAGAGGAATTGACCTATACTTCTTCCAATGAAGATTTAAAGAGAGCTCAGAAAGAAAGTATTTTGAAGAGGATTCCAATTGGTGCAGAAGCCACAACCGTCTTAGTTGGTGCTGTAGACTTTCTTGAGCAACCAACAATTGCTTTTGTTCGGCTTGCAGAAGGCATACTTATGCCGTCAATTACAGAGGTAATTAATAAAACTCCTGTAATGGTTTTTAATTTAAGTTATAGTATTTGTCTTACCTTATAAAAATATTGTGAATATTCTTCTAAAATATAGAAATGAATATGTTGCCTTTGCCTGTACAAATTTAAAAAAGAGAACTGATTTTTTTATGCTGATTCACACATTTGCAAACAGCCCTCAAAACTTCATTTGCAACATAGGATATGAAGCCAATTAAGATTTTTATTAGTACATGCAAAGAATCTAATGAACATATCATCTTTTTAACTAATTCTGAAGAAACATTGTAACATTTTCATGATTTCTTATTCTTTTAATATTTCAGGTTACAATTCCTGTTAGATTCCTATTCATTCTATTGGGACCCACCACTGCAGATTTAGACTACCATGAAATTGGTAGATCGATCTCTACTCTAATGTCAAATTCTGTATGTATTGCCATCAGTGCTGACAAATTATTTTATACCTGTATACTGTTTTAGTTAATTAATTTTTTTCATAGCATTTCCATAAAGTTGCATACAAAGCAACTGAAAGACGAGAACTTCTTTCTGCAATAAATGAATTTTTGGATGACAGTATTGTGCTTCCTCCTGGAGATTGGGAACGGAAAGCTCTTCTTCCATTTCGGGAACTTAAAGCAAAAAGTGAAATGATTCGAAAACGTAAAACTACACGATTGCTTGATCAAGATGAAGCTAAAAAAGGTAAATAAAGCTCTTGTTTAAAAATGTATATATTTATGACATTTGGTAATTTGCTGATGTAAAATAAGGTTCTGAGGTAAGTTCTTGGCAATCTTCATAATCTTGATGACAATTGTTCTCTACTCTCTGTTTTTGTACTGTTACTTTTTGAGAAGTAAAAGCAAAATATATTGTTTGTTTCTGTAAATAATTATCTGTTGTAAATTGACAATGATACACTGAATCAATGTCCATGTTCTGAATAAATGGCATGAATCCAAATTATCTGATTAAAATTTGACAAGAAACTTTTTTTATATTATATTATCTTAGACCTTGTGTCCCTGGAATGTTGAATTTTTATTGATGACTTTCCAACTTCACTACTGTTTCGTTATCTTCTTTACTTCTATTCCTCTTCAGAATACCTGCAAGCTTGATGGAAGCTATCATATTGTATCTTTATTTTGAATGTATATTTCTAATTGATCCATTAGTAATGGCTTTACTGCCAGTGCTAATAACGATAGGCATTAAAGCAATGCTTAATGTTTGATCATAACAATGTCTGATTGGCTGGTAGTTCAATCTGGCTAAATGCCAAATATTTACAGTGATCAAGTTTGTAGGTCAATTGGTGTGACAGGTAATTCCATGATCATTACCGAGTGAATCTCAGAACAGCACAGCATACATGGTACAGACCTCACATGAACTTCAGTTCCCATTTCATCCATTTTCCCCAATCCAAGCTGGGGTGACATGGGAGAGTACATCTGTTAACATATATTTTCTGACATCAGCTATAGAACTCAATTAATTCTCCACCTAGTTGGGCACTCCATGAGGTTAGTAGTGCAATGTATTGTGGAACATACTCTGAATTTTGTGCACCCTACTAAAAAAACTAATTAAAAGTAAATTTCACCACTGGCTTTGTCAGTTTTCACCTGCCAAAGGACGCAAGCTGCTGGAGAGCTCCACCGTCTGTGGATCAGTGCAGGAACAAGGAAGCTGTCTGTCTGCCCGTGGCTCACTTGCTCCCTCCCTCTCTAGCGCTGCCAACCACCACACCCCCTACTCTCCCTTCAGCGCCAAGACATGCTGCAGTGGAGTGTCTCCAACAGTCACGAGGGGCGAGTGGCTGATGCTGGGTGCGCATGCGAGGGGAGAGAACTTTTTCATATTGTCACTTAGCAAATAATCCTATGCCCTGAATGCCAAGGGTGATAGTGCTACAGATTTAAGATTGAGCAAGTTTCTGGGTGTGTCTCACAAGAAATGTTTAAAATGGTGCAAGAAAATTTCATGTTAAATTGCCATAATGTTGGAGCTGCTCAATAGGAGTCAAGTAGCTAGTTGATTTTCAATGTGTTACATCAAACCTCTCAAGGTTAATGTTATTATTCTATTGTAATGATTAGGTTGAAATTAGTACATCAAATACAGTGCTAATACATAAACATAATATGTAAAATTACAGTTTCGTTTGTCACCTTGCTCTTTCACTTTTTCTTCTGTGAAATAAATGCGCTGTTTATTCTTGCTGAAATCAATGTGCATACCCCTTGAGATTCCCTTTATGCAAGGTTTAGAAAAAATTTTAGAAAGGCTTCCCTTTTGTTAACAATCCTTTATCTTCCCTTTTCATAACTGACATCGGTGAAGAGAGGTGAGGCTAACATCCCACAGAGGACTCAGAATGGCTGATGATGATAATAATAACTAGCTGTAAAGTTTGTCCTCCTTTGGAGACATTTCTGTTTCCAGGTAGCCTTTGCCTGTTAAAATAATTAGTTGCTAAATCAAATTAAATCTGTTCAGGAATTATTATTTCAGAAAAAAATTTAATACATTTTTTAAATGGGTTTCTGATATATTAATGTTGATCAATTTTCATTCCAGATATTACAAACATTTGTTATGTTGTTCTTGTTTGAAGTTCATGGTTTGTCTTCTGTGTTTAAATTTGTATTCAGTGTTCCAGTCATGTAGACAAGAATTTATAAACATTTATTTATTTACTTTGAATTTTAGTTTAAATGCTGCTAATTATGTTGTATAAAAAACTAAAATCCTGAATAATAAGATAACTATTTTCTATATGTTGGTAACTTTTAATGTTCTGTTATTTTATTTTTAGTTCTGCTTGCTCCATCGGGGGATGGAAAACCACCTCCAGACTTTGACCCTCTTCAAAGAACTAGGAAGCCTTTTGGAGGATTGATAAATGATGTGAAGAGGAGATTTCCACATTACCCTTCTGATTTTACAGATGGTTTCAATTTGCAGTGTGTAGCAGCTGCAATATTTATGTATTTTGCTGCTCTATCCGGAGCTATTACCTTTGGAGGACTCATGAGTAAGATTTATTTTTTATACGAAAAGAAAGCTATATGTATTATATCTTTATTTTCTCTTTGCATTATGTTTTTTCAATTGTAAAGGAAAAGCTGGAGAAATGTAAGTCATAGCTTAATATTCAATTCTTTGTCTAGTAAGGTCATGCTCACCTCAATAACTTCAGAGAGTGATGGAAGAATGATTGTTTGCAGGTGACAAAACTGAAAATTTGATTGGAATATCAGAAACCCTTTTATCAACAGCTGCTGCTGGAATCTTGTTTGCACTTCTATCTGGCCAACCTTTGATTATAGTCGGTGCTACAGGTCCTCTACTTTTATTTGATGAAAGTTTATATAGTGTAAGTATATTTATAATTTTGATATATTTATTTGATGTCACATAATGGATTACAGCCCTCCAATGTGCTCAGCTATATTTTGTTTCCCCAAATAATGAACCCTCAAAACAAGGATTTAGGATTGGACAATAACGTAGATTTGCAATGTATTTGGTGTACAAAAATCCCAAATGTGCTTTATGTTAAAGAAGTGAAATGAGATTTTTTTGTGATATTCAGAAAATAGATGAGGCAAGTTTTTACAGTATTTTAAAATTGTTGTTTGTAGGATTGAGATATGATGTAAAATAGAATACAGATTAGAAGACAGTGGAATCTCTGTAATCTGACACTTCATGAGTCTGGCATGATTAGTTCTTAAACTCTTCACAATTCTAAACATGAATATTTTTATCAAGCTCTCTGTCAATGCATGTAAAAAGAATAAAATGTTTTACATATTCTGATACTCTCTAATTTTACTCATAGCTTGCTTTTTTGTTTTTTTCTTTCCATATTTTGATGCTTAACAATAGTGATCTGTACTTGCCCATATGTAATCAAAATTTAGTAAAAGGACGAAAAATAAGCTTTTGTAAGATGTTGGAATGGATTAAGGTACATACTTAGGTTAGTTTTCAGCTGAGGTAAGAACTCAGGGATAGGGGGACTTCACAAATCTCTTAATTTATTTACAAAATATGAAAAATAATTTAAAAACAGGAAGTTTAAACTAAGAGTGAACTTAGTAGACATTTTTAGCTGCAAAAATGTCCTCAAGAGATAATTTTGAAGCCAACTTGTGTTGTATAGATAACATTTTCAGATTGGTTTGTTGATGATGTCCTGATATGTAATATTTAGTTTGCTAAAATTCCTTTCATTCAAAGTGACTGGGATTATGTGAAGTGTCCTGTTTTTGTTATGTTGGTGATTCACATGATGATGTCCGTTCTTATATATTAATATCAGAAGGCCTGATAGAGTAGCCATTTTCATATTATGGCTTAAACCATAATATTGCCAAGGTTTTCTTAAAACTTTCCACTTCTATCACCAGCTCATCACATTCAAAGTATTATTTATGTATGGTAACAAACTCAAGTGCTTTCTCAATTCTTCTCTATTTATATTTCAAACTGAGCTCCACCAAGGAAGAAAAAAATAAACTACTCATGCTTTGAATGGCTTGAAACATTTGCTTCATTTAATTCAAATCTGATCTATTATTTCTATAATCACTCTCCTTTTTCTTCTGAGAATGAATAGGTTTCATCTTTGCTCATGCTCTTTTTATCAAATGTTCACAAGGAAGTGGAAGATAAGGATCTAGGTTTCCTCCTATTTCTTTGGGTACTGTAATTGCATCAGTGGTACTGTTTGAACTTTCTGATTCCAATTCTGAAATCAGATGGTTAATATGTCTTGCTGATCGGTCAATAGTGATTTTCTCTTTTTGCAATTGTTTATTGACTGTATCATTGCAGCTTAATCCCTTATACCTGAAACAGGGGAAGACAAAAAATTCGAAGGTTTTGAAATTTCTCAGAAGAGTTTTGGTTCAGCAATTAGTATTGGGCTGGTTCTATGATCATTAAGAGCATCTATTATTTTTCTTAATGTTTATGTATTACCATTACAGCTTCCCTCTTAGTAGGCCATGTGGTATTACTTTGCAGTTTGAAAGATAAAGGAACATGTTTTACTAGAATCTCTCATCTATTGGTGAAGAAAGCAAAAAAAATGTACAAGCAAGGAAGAATGCCTAAGTAGGACTCTGCCTCTGGTGATAAGCTAGAAACAATTTTAACCAACAATGTCCAGCAAATGTGCAGCATGTGCTAATGATCTAAGTTTTTACAGGAGATTTCATTACAGAAAAAGTTTCTATCAAAAATATTATACTTTTGCCTTGTTAATTTTTTGTAATTGTCAAAAATTCAATTTACTGAAAGTGAGACCTACACTATTCCTTTAAGCATCCTTTGCTCTATATGAGGAAAATAATTCTTTAAAAATTGCCAATATTTCACGCAAATCAATGCGAAAACACTCATATTTTTAAAAAAAAATTTTACAACCTGATTTTAAGATCTGTCTTTAGAAAACAGATTTCATTAAAGAAAAAATTTAATTATCAAAATAGTATTTGTAGACAAACTGCAAAAATTGTAACTTTTATAAATTTTTAAATTTATAAATTTCAACAAGAATGAGACCTGCACCATTTTTAAGAGTCCTTTACACTATCTGAGGTGGAAAAAGAACAACAATATTTGGAGAGATTTTGAGAGAATTTTTAAAATGCTTTAGAGGCTTAATGTTAAATACCTCAAAGGATAAACATTTCCATTTATATGTATAATATTAATTGTATCAATTTATTTTTTCATCAAAATCCGACAAAATATCAATAAAATAAACATTTAAATGGTGGGCTCCAGAGCTCCTCCCTTCCCGTCTCTCCCACTTGACACACACGCACACACTCTCTCTCTCTTGCTCTCTCTTCCTCTTGCTCTCTCTCGCTCTCTGTCTCTCCTTTTTTCTCGCTCTCTCTCGCTTGCCTCCACACACACACACACACACAGACACTCATACACACAGCCTTTTATATGGGACTTGTGCACAGTATCATTGTGACAGTATCATCGAAGTATATCAAGGTTTCTTGGCATTGGAAAACCTTAGGATTTTTTTAAACCTAGCTGTATCATTTCTGTGATCAGTGATATGATAGAAGGCAGAAATACAGGAACCGCGCTACTAAACGTCATTGAAGACGCGAGAACAGCAATAGATTACAGTAATATAACTATTTTGGTTCTTCTGGATTTCAGCAAGCATTCGCATTCAGTAGATCACGGACATCCTTGCTCGCCAAACTAAAGATCATGGATTTGCACAGCCCACGTGTACAATGGTTTCTTAATTATTTTAACTTCTAGAAGCCCAAAAGGTGGTGTCCGGTAGCCGTAGCTCCAAGGACTTTGAAAGCTTTAACCGCGGAGTTGCTCAGGGCAACTGTGTTAGGCCACTGCCTTCTTATCTATTAAATGACGTGGGAAATGCCAACTTAAATATTCAGGCACCAAATGTATGCGGCATGATCTCCAGATATTATCTAAGTGAGTCACCCGTCTCACCTCGCTTTCACTCGTACAAAAATTAATGAAGATTTTAATAGCGGTAAACAAACGGGCAGCGTCTTTAGGCTTACAATTAAACCCAAACAAATACAGTGATGGTATCAGCTCGAAATGCACTATGAAAAAAATATCTTCTCCTTGCCTGAATATTTATATAAATGACACCATTTTACCTGGTGTTCTGAAGTCAAGAACTTAGCGTGTAGTTATCGACAACACTCTCAGCTGGAACTCACACGTAGATTCAACCTGCCGTAAAGTGTTGCTTCAATGCACTCACTGAAACGCCTGCGACACTTTTACCAGGTAGCACACGTGAGACTCTCATCAAGATTCAACTTATCCATGCCACATTTCGACTAAATTGCGACTTTCTTCTGACCAACATGACATTTCAAATTACAAACGGTAAACTACAAGTAGCCCGAAACGCATGCGTACGTTTTATTTTTGATCTACGAAAATACGACCATGTATCGAATTTTTGACAGAATTCGTCTGCTTACTCTAGAACAAAGACGGTTACTACACTCTCTACTTCTTCTTTATAAAGTTTTTAACCGCGTTCTCATGCAACCGCCTCATAAGAACTTCAATCCTCTGAAACTAAATCGAGCTCGTGAATCAGGCCCTGCGTTGATGTACCACGTCACAACAACGACCTTCATTCAGTAAATCATTCACCATTACAGCTATCCAAGCCTGAATAAATTACCAGCGTAGACTAAAGCATTTAAACACTTTCGGAAATTTCCAAAGGCTGCCCCCCACGAATTAACCACGATGCGTAAGGAATAAACGGCATATAAACGGCTGTCAACGTTCTTCTTCAATCTCCAGACTTCTCCCACTTCCAAGCGCCCGGTCACCGCCCCGTTAAAAACCTCTATATTTCCCCCTCTTTATTCTCAATATTCTACCCCATTAACCTCATTGCTCTATCCGCATCTTTCATTCCCTCTCACATCTACATTATGAGCATCATTACTTTCTGTGTACCATAATGAAATTGTTATTAAAATGCTAACAAAAGTATTAGTGACGTTCCAGATAAAACTATACTGTAGCGATCATTTGTACCATCAGGCATATTTACTACAATATATTGGCATAAAAACAAAATTGATGTTAAGATACCAGCACTCTTTGTATTGTCCCTGAGTACTGCAGTTATTGTGTTTAAATTACGGTTTATTTGCTTACAGATGTATTGTGCTTCTTTTGGTGTTAAAATTATTGTATATTTATGTAAAAAGCTACCTAAAACTAAACGTAGCTTTCTCTAACGTTCCTCAAATAACTTCACTTTTTTCGCCTACTTCTTCTTTCGTCCTTTTTCTTCGCTTCTTTTCTTCTTCCCTCTTCCTCACAAATTTTATCATTTTTTAATTTTAGACCCCTTCCCCTGAACGTCTTCTTCTTTTCTCTTTTACGAAACTTCCCTTTTCACTACTATGTACAACTTACCAAGTTACTATTAATGGTTCGGCCCTAAGCCGCCATCCTGATTGAGGTTTTTCTGGGTTTTACTCAATCGCTTTAAGGCGTATGCCGGATGGTCCTAGGTTTGTTCTCCCAGACGTAAAATGTACACTTGTCATCCCCTCTTAAAATGTTACTATTTCTAATTGTATGAAATTCAGTGGCGCTTAGGCGGTAAGAGCAGGCCCTATGGCCTGAGCCTCGCCATTAATAAAGACATTATTATTATTATTATTATTATTATTATTATTATTATGATACGTTATCATTTCTGTATCAGATTGTATCTGATTTTACATAGCTGTTTCATTCAATATGGGTATTAATTTTTTTTTTTTCTTTTCTTTCAGTTTTGCATTCAAAATAAAATTGATTTTTTGACTATTCGTGTGTACATTGGCATTTGGCTTGGAGTAATAGCCCTCTTCGTGGTGTTTTTTGAGGGCAGTGTGCTAGTGAAATTGTTTACAAGATTTACTGAAGAAATATTTGCAGCTCTCATTTCATTATTGTACATCGTGGAAAGTATTATGAAGCTTTGCATGGTGAGTTGAAGTGTAAAACAATGAATGATAATTTCTTTCTTTGAAAATTTGTTTTAATGTTATATTTTTCTAATTGTTAGGTGTTTAAAACTCATCCACTGTTAGATGATTATTGTGATGAAGATGTTTTTGGTGCGGGTATTGCAGGAAATTATTCAAAATTACCCAATGACACAGAATTATCTACCACCACTCCGGAAGAAATTATTGGAGTCAATATGCCATCATTTGAAAGTAATTTTAGTGGGTATGTATGCATTTATTTATTTTTAGTAGTTTCTCCTTTCCTTATCTTTTGAATTATTGATGTTAGTTTTTTTTCCTATTTGAATTCACAGCAATATCATATTCATCATTTTTCAGATTCAACACAACTTTTGAACCCTCTACGGATGGCCCAAGTTTTGGAAGAGGCCAACCCAACACTGCTCTTTTTTGTTTGATTCTTGCCTTAGGAACTTTCTTCATAGCATATTACTTAAGACAATTCAGAAACAGCAAATTTTTGGGGAGAAATGTGAGTGTAGCATGTAACATATCAATTAACACCAAAACTTTCTTTAAATCATTGCATTTCTATTTTTACATTTTACCTATGATTACATTTTACCTATGAATTGTTTTGGTTTTTATTATTTTAGCTATGTTTTTCCTTTATAGGCTCGACGTGCTTTGGGTGATTTTGGTGTGCCGATTGCAATTATTACTATGGTTACATTAGATTATTTCACTCCAACGGTGTACACTGAAAAATTAAGAGTGCCACAAGGTTTGTCACCATCAAAGCCTTCTGTGAGGGGATGGTTTGTTTCTCCATCGAGTCCTAACGTAGAAATGTGGGTGCCTTTTGCTGCATGTGCACCTGCTATTCTTGTTTACATCCTTCTTTTCATGGAAACTCACATTTGCGAGTAAGTACTCATCAAATAAAGGGTAGATCCAAAGAAGTATTTTGGAAGGGAATTTTTGGGAAAAAACTGCTCCAATTTGGAGGGTATACTAAGTCAGTTCCATTTAACTGTTGTACTACATTGTATCTTTGAATGAAATGTATTTAATACTATCTGGTTTCAAATGAAATCTTAATTTTTCTTACAAATTTCGTAATTTCTGGTAATTTTACATTGTGTGTGGGTGTGTGCATATGCGTGTTGTGTGTGAAAAATCCTCATGTCCATTAAACTCACAATATTATTTTTTGTTTCTAGATTAATTATTGATAAAAAAGATCGAAAACTAAAGAAAGGATCTGGTTTTCATTTAGATATTGTTCTAATTTGTTTTTTGAATGTGGGTATGGGGTTCATGGGGGCACCATGGGTGTGTGCTGCAACTGTTCGGTCCATTGCTCATGTCTCTGCTGTTACTGTGATGTCTCGCACTCATGCTCCCGGTGATAAACCTCATATTATAGATGTTAAAGGTATGTGCTCCTTATCTTTTATGCAATTTAATTTTTGATAAGCTGTTTTATTGATGCTGACATTTTTTTTTCATTATTCAGTATTTCGCGTCTTGATTTCTATTAATATTTTCAGTGGAATTTCTTGTTTACAAACTGTTTCTAGAAACTACGCATAATGATTTCAATCATTCATTCCTTTAATATGTATTATTTATTGATGTATTAGGCTTTAAATGTGCATAAAACTTCAATGTATTTCTTAACATTTCTTGTGATTTCAGAGCAACGTTTAAGTTCCTTAATTGTAGCTGTTTTTGTGGGTATATCAGTATCAATGGCTCCACTTTTACGACTGGTTCCCATATCTGTTCTCTTTGGAGTATTCTTGTATATGGGTGTTTCGTCTACCAATGGAATTCAGTTCTTTGAACGCCTTCAGTTAATATTTATGCCTGTGAAGCACCATCCTCAAGCTTCATATGTCAGAAGAGTGAGTATTCAGTATAAGTCTTTATACTAAGAAAGTATTATGTGTAATTTTTGTTGTACATCACTTTGTTTCATCTTCCTATTATGTCTTTGTGTTCCAACATTCTTGTTTTCAACATCCTTCCATTCTTATTTCTTTCCATAGAGAGATATTAAATATTAATTGAAAATATTTATTCATTTACCCTTAATCCTGCTTGCTTCACAGGATCTATTATAAAAATATTAAATTAATTTTCTGTGAATTATATTGGTAAATTTCATCTTATTAATTATTACAGTGGTTGTTTTGGTTTATTTCTAATAAAGTGCTCTTTATAAACTCAATTTTTTCTGTTAATTATTTGTTCTTTTCTTTTAGGTGCACTCAATGAAGATGCATCTTTTCACATTCATTCAACTTTTCTGTTTGGCCGTACTTTGGGTTGTAAAGTCAACGGAAGCTGCTTTGGCTTTCCCATTTTTCCTTATTCTTATGGTTCCCTTAAGAGCCCAGTTAAGATTTTTATTCACTCCATCAGAATTACGGGCTGTAAGTATGATTTCCATTGCACTGCTCTTGAAATTGAAGTTTTGTGTGATTGATGTTTTTATCATGTGAATTGCAGTAAAATAAAATTAAGATATTGACTCGTGTACACCCACACTCATACATTTGAGTACTCATACTTTCTGTCTAACTTATCATAAATTTGTTTCAAACGCATCCATTTTACATTAGAATTCATTATTGATCTTGAATTTTTTTTTTTTTTAACATCTTTTCAATATTTTTATCAGCAATGTTTTATTGAAAGAATTTTTTTAAGTTGGTTCCATTTAGGCGTGTGCAATAGCTGTGAATTTGTAAGTAATGATAGTTTATATTAAATTACAGCAATCTGGCAAAACTAAGGCAATGTTTGCTCAATAATATATTGATGCAGGATCTGTTACAAAATGATGTGGTAATAATCCCATTTTTGTTAGATGATATTAGCTAATGTAATTAGTAATTGCAAAAAATTCAGAAGAGACAAACTTCTGTGAAATGAGTTACACTCCTAAAACATGTAAAACTTAAATTGTTTCCTATTCAATGGTAATAGTTGCCAGCAAACAGGAGTTTCATTTTATTGGGGAGAGGTCAGTAAAGTATGTTTATTATTTAATAACAAGAAATAAAACCTTAATGGACATAATATTCAAAATCATAAAATTTGAAGGTTTAAATTAATATTTTCTTGTTGGATCATGACACAACTAAATTTTTTTAAAATACAAATCCGCTAGGTTTTATAATGTACATTTTGTTACTTCTTCTCATATATCAATATTACGTATAATGAATACAGGTAGTACAGACTAGAAAGTTTGCAGAGTTTACAGATAGAAATTTATGGAATGGTATCAGTGTCCTTGTTTTTAGTCATGCCATTGTACATAATAATTGAGAAAGTCAATTCAATTTTTGAAGGAGCGTAAACCTAAGTCTATTACACAATATTGCGTATTATGTCTTGGTATGGAGAAAATGATTTCTTGTGTGATAAATGAACCATTCTGTTAATATAAGACAATAATTAGTAACATAAATTGCAGTTGGATAGTGAAGAAGCTGATGGTGATGAAGATGAACCAGACTTCTACACTGAAGCTCCTATGCCTGGTTAAATTACTTCTTCGAGAATCAGGAGTGCCTCTTCTGTAACACCACGTGCTTCATGCAACAACACGCCATCCCTTGTTTTGAAATAATGTCACTCAAACACAAAAGTTTGGCATTGGAAATATATTGGGCAATCATAAACAATAAGCAATATATAAAGCTATCTTACTGATGATGTTATATGTCATACATATGTGAAATATATTTATCTGCAAACTATAAATCAAAATAATTAACTGGTCAGGACATGCTTGTGTCCTATAATGTCACCAGAACAGAATAGGTCAAAGGGTATGTAGTTTAATTTCTCAAGTGCCTTTTCAAACAAATAGAAGTAGATTACTTCAATACACTTAACTTCTGTGCATATTCACATTCTTTACCTAACTAATATACATTTGTTTAGCTCTCCTAGGAAAATTTCTCCCTATTTGAGCTTCTCTCTTGATTATTGATTTTGTGACATATGCTATTATATTAGTGTTCCAATTGGTAAAACGTATACGGCATGCCTGAGTATCTGTCTCTGGTAGTTTCTTATTGGAAGTGGTTGTTAAAATTATAGGCCTACAGATCCACTCATAATTGTGATTGCATGTGGATTGTAAATCTCATGCTCCAAATGTTATTGTAAGTTAACTTCCAAGTTTCAAATCGTTAGTCTGTGAAATTTTAATAACGAACTAATAGGTAGGTTCAAATGAGACTGCATTTCATTGATTTAAGATTTTAGTTCTTGTGGGTACATTAAGTACCCATATTAACTTTTTAACATAATAATGGCAAGCGATTGATTTTAATCATATTACTGGATTCTTTAAATACTTGCAATACCTCAGGAGTGAAAGAGAAAAGTTTTACTTTATATTACAAATGCAATAATTAACTACTACATTTTTATGTTTATTGATTGGTTTTTGGTTTTTTTGTTAAACTCCTATATTAGGAGACTTCTATACATTTAAGAGAATATAATAAGTAATAGGAAAGTCACTGAATGAAAACAGCAGTGTTTTATTTTAATAATTAATTTGCACCTGTATAGTAGGGAATCATGTTATATTTATTATTCACGTGTTTAACCTTCAGAAGTATTGCTAACGAGCTAAATTAACCGTTACTTTAATAAGAACAATATAAATACAAAATAGATTAACTAGATCTCTATGAAATCATAATACATCAATTTATGACCAATTTGAATCAGACATAGTCTGATTAATAATTGGTCATTAATTTATGTATTAAGTACAATATTGATTGTATTGTTTGTTTATTGTTATTCAAAATGAAGTTTGCTTTGTCTCTGAATAGTATAATTGCGATCTCTATTTCAATACACTTTAGTTCATATTGTGACCTTTTTGATTACTATAGGTGACTGATAATTATTTGTTTTGTTTTGAGTTTATGACAATATTCTATATATATATATGTGGGTACAAACACCAAACTATAGGTAAACCAATAAGTTCACTGGTTTCTAAATTATTTTCATGCTCATTTAATGTTGTCCCAGTGAATATCAGTGAACTTAATTGTTTACTTTCATCATTGTTGGTAAGAATACTAAATTTGTTTTCTCATCATTGTTATGAAATTTGATGAGATAGTGTGTAATTTGTATGTATTGTTGGAATAATAATGTCTATTCCACAATATTGTTTATAATATATAATTTTATGTTGACTAATACTTTTATTGATAAAAATGTTTTTATTGCAGTGATATTTATATTCAAAGGAACACCAATCAACATGGTTCTAGATATTCCTAGTAGATTATCGAACATGCCATTTTTTATATTAAGAAGTAATGTATTCTTGGAGTATTGTTTGCTTTTTCAGTTAAATGGTTTATGAAAAAAATGTTGAGTATGGTGACAAACTGTAGTGGAGCCCCAGTACATAATTAAATGAATGAGTGAAAGTGTATATAATATATTTGTTATCAGCTGATTTTAGAAAGTTAGAGAAAAATTACAATTTTCTAGTACTAATGATCACACTGTGTGGAAGCCATCATTATTTGTCCAATTAGACAAGTTTAGTGAGCTTCTATTTGGCTAGTGACCATTCACGAATTCTGAGTAGTGCTCACAACTAATAAGTTATTTTAGGAGTTTTCTCTATGAATTTCCAAGAGTTGAACTCCTCTTGGAGTTTTGTTCCCTTTTATCCACTATGATGAACACCCACCTGATGGGTTCTGGAAACATTCTGGGCATTAAGACACTTTCGAGTACAATGGCATCTAATACATCATCTGCCCATAGTAATATCTTTCTATTGTAGAATTCTCCCTTTATTCCGTAGACGACTTTGAAATTTATGCTTTGGGACATTGACCTTATAATGTACAAATGATTGGACTAAACAATGCAGAAGATTCCATTGCTTACACTAAGGAGAATTTTCCAAAAATTTCCAAAATAATTATAGAGTATTTTCTGCTAATGGTTATTTTCTTTCAAGTAGAGATTTTTAATATTTCATCGGTGAAGGTTTTCTTATTTGGATTTATAGGAGAGAAATTTCTTTAACTTCCTGCGACAGTTTTTAGTCATGTTAATCAATTTACTATTGCAAACACATTCAAAAATATATCACAATAGGATGTCATGGCAAAATGAGCAGATTAACATCAAATAAATGTTGTGAGAATATATATTTGCATTTAATGAATTTTCAGTGATATCGTATTTGGTAAATAGTCCTCTCTGCCATATTGGTTGGTATAATTTTAAAGCAGGTTGAAGAAATTTTCTGAAAATGTCTGAAAGAAAAAGATTGCAATATGAATTTGAAAAAGTTTTGGTAAACAGTGTGCAACATACTTGACTTAATTTATATTGAAAGCTTCAAGTGTGAAATATAGACATATTAATTTGAAATTGCAGAATGCTGCAATGAAATAAAAAATGATTGGTATTAGTGCTTCTTGCATTATGGATGGTTGTGATAAGATAAAGTTGAGTCAGAAATTAGGATAGTGATAGATATAAATGTCTTAAGACTAAAATGCCTAAGAATATAAACAAATTATTTAATTTTGTGAAATTCATAAGTGCCCAATAAATATTATTATCCCAGAGATGTAAATATATCTTGGTACATCTTATTTTCTGACTGCCAGTATTTTCTCAGTAAATGCTGTAAGGTTAATTGAATTGTATAGATATATATGGTGAAAGGTAAGGGCCGATTGTTCTCAGAATACATCAGATGTTTGTTATGTGGGTACCAAGTGCCTAACTGAAAATTGTGGTGCTCGATTCTGAGACTGTCAAAGCAATGATTGTTTTTCTAGAAGTTATCTTGTTTCTCTAATCTATCATTTTTAAATGAATTTTTCTTCTTCTTCACTTTGTCATGTTAGCCAGTTTAGGTGATGTATTGAATTCTATAAATTATAACTAACATTTGTATATTTTTTCCTTTCTAATTTGCCCTGTGTGCATTAATAGAGTGAGGCAAATATTCATTCTACTATCTAATTATCTACACATAACAGAAAGAAACTGTTTTTCAGATATTTTGAAATATTATGTAATATTATTTTGTAGCACCCCAAAGTTTGCTGGAAATATTTGAATGCTGAAGAGACGAGAATGATGCAAAAAAGTTATAATAGAAAAGTAATATCTATGGTTGTAGATGGTTGCCGTTTTATTATGAAGAATGATATCAATGTACATATGAAATAAAGAGTTATTTTATCTAATATGGATTTGACATCAATAGTGAGACTGGGTTTATAACATAAAAAAGGGCTCTAGATTAAAATTTGCAATTAATAGATAATTGTTGTAGTGTATTATTTACAAACTTTTTTCTTTATTTTCAAGAGATTCTGGTGAAGTTGCTTTGCTCTGACAGTCTCATACAAGTAATAGTCTAAGGTATTTTATTTAAGATTGATTAAAATTATGTCTCTTGTTTTTCATCACTTCCCTGTATCTATCTTTATTGACTGGTAGTGTTTTGATGCTAACTGAGAAACATACTTAGAAGAGAAACCAGCAACTTATGTTCATGGAAAGTAGTATCTCAATTTCAAAATCTGGAAAATTAAGCAATGTGGCCAGCCGTTTTGTGAATCTGCCTGAAATACTACTAATGTATTATATACATTTAATAACTTGTAGTATCATTATACTAGTTATATTACATTCCAAGTAGGGTTGAGGGACTCTTCCATTACACTGTAACTCTGAAGTTTTACAGATAATTGATTTAAACTAATTTATAAAAAAATTACCTGAACTTGAATAATGAAAATCAATTTTGTGTAATGTTTTGTGTTCCTGTTTGTTATTTCAATGTAAAAGGCTTTTATACCTATTCACTATGTTCCAATGCATGGTCACTTTTTCAACCTAGAAATTGTGGAATTACCTTTGAAAATCTCTAGAGGAATTTAAGAAACTGTAGACAATATATTATAATTTCAATATTTATTGAGTAGTGAAATCTGATCATTGCAGTATTGAGAAATTTGTCATTCACAAGACTTCATAGACTAACATTGTAAAAATTACAGTTTAATTTTTGTAAAATTAATTCAGTAATGGTTAAATTAACATTTCTATTAGTTATCTGTCTTAGTTGCTTCCAACTTTTACTAGTTACAGTAACATTATTTCTTGTGAAATTCCATGTAAGTGTGTTATTGTATTATTTTAGAAGGGATAACCTTCAAGATATTGTTTATTTGCAAAAAGAAAAATGGTTAAAATATGTTTGTACTATGACTGAATCCAAATGCAAATATGACACAAAAATTCATTGGCATTAGTTTAAATGATTTCGATATCATTATTATAATTTTCGACACTCATTCATAAACTGTACTCTGTTTATTTAAATTACAAACATAATAAAGTGGAAGTGTTGAATATTTTATTTTGTATTTATTTTTCTTATGTTATATTTTATCAGATATACAACATTGTGAAATACATTGTCTTTAACTCAATTAGACCTTTTATAAAAGTTTAGAAACTGGTTGGTCACATTTCTTTACAATCCTATAAATTCCAAATAAAATTTCATGTTTTTTTAGTGCACAGAAATGGATTTTTAAATGAAATGAATCTTGTCTTCTATTCTTAAAAGAAAAAAAAATATTTTCCTTGAACTTTTTTAGGAAGTTTATATTTCATGTCTAAGCATTAATTAAAAATTAAAATCGAATGTTATATAGTAAGCCAATGTGCTTTAAATTCCCTTAGCTCCCCTCTACCATTATTGAAGGATTGGTATGGTTACTGTTTCTTACATTGACTTTTGACAGTAAAATGTTACTGCTCATATGTGAATTTGGACTAGCAATAATTTCCATTCCTCCCCAAATTTTTGTTTGTGGAATATAAAGAATATGATGAAAATATTGTACAGGGACAGATGCTAAAAAGTTTTACATAATTATTAAATATCTTATTTGCAATTATAGAGCAATTAGTTTTCATCATAAGCATTTACTATTTTTGTATGTTAAAGTACACTACACATTTCTGGTTTTCTATATTCTTGTTATTTTTCAGTAGATTGTTCTTTGTAATTTAGGGAAGTTATTCTACACATGTATGTAATTCCCTGAAATAATATTTTATAAAATAAATTATTTGTTTATCTGTGTTGTAGCAGAAAAGTACAAATTCAGAAGTTCTTATTAAAAAATTTAATTGAAGCTGCAACACAAATAACAAAATTAATATAGAGTTGAATTATGAAGTAAAATTTAGTGGTTATTTTAGTAGTTTGAGAAAATCACATCATTGATTTCTAATATCTAAAGAAATACAGTATGTACATGTCATATTTTTGCTATTAACTTTTAATAGTGTTCCTTGTAACATAGAATTTCATTATTAATTGTTTCTCATATATGTAGAATATATTTTAAAATTGTATTATATCTTAATGAGTGAAGTTTAATTTTGCTTATTTATTTATGGCCTTAATTTTTAACAAATATTCAATCAAAAATTACAAAGTTTTTTAAAAGGTCAAGTTTATATACATCTTTGCACTTTACATATTGTATTCTGTGTATGAAATGTCGACCAAATGATTTGATGATTGACACTTAGTAACTACAAACTTTTTACAAATTAAAATTATATAAACTTCATTGAAAAGATTCTCAATATTTGAATTTTGTCTCCTTGTGCACACAAATCTCATGTGATATTAATTTTTCAGGTCTCTGACCGTAATGTAGTTATGAATGTGAATAGTGATTTATCAACTTTTGAATGTACAGTACAGCAATAGGAGTTAACTTGTTATATTCTTATAAGGATAGAATATTGCACAATTATATTGGAATTAGAACACACTCATAAGTATATCAAATAGAGTAATTACACAGATTCTCTTATCAGTAAATTCGACATAATTTCTTCATTTAATAATGTAGCTTGCTTATTCACATAAATTTTTATACATTTATCTGTTTAACACTCTCTTCATTATCTGTGATTACAATAATGGCAATGATTTCCAAAATGTGAGGAGAAAAATGTTTTGAAATATTTTTCTCTTGGTAGTTTTTAAATAAGGATTCTAATTCTAGGAATTTGTAGTATAACTTCGAACATTTTTCAATTTCTTTTTTGATGATTTTGACCAGCTTCAGCTACTGATAGTGTATTATGTTAGTCATTATCATGTTATGTAAGTCATTGCCATGCGGATTGCCATTAGACCATAAAGAGACAGTATTAAAGAAAAGAAGGCTAGTGGCCTAAGGGCCATGTAAAAGTAGTACTATTTCAAGATTGATGGAAGATTGAACTCTCTATTCATGGTATGTTTGAAATTTAACTTCTTTGAGAGTACTACACAAATATGTGTAATTATTTTTTGCCCTGTGTACAAAGTACTTTGTAATTCATATATAAATAAATTGTAATCTTAAAATGGCCCTTCCTAATAGGCTTGTGTAGGTGCTAAAGGTTTATGTACGGAAGAAAAACTGAATGAGATTTTTCTGCTTTGTGGGAAAATGTAGACTGCAGATATATTTTTATGCTTTATCTATATTAGATCCCTCAGAGTACTCCATGTGCAGTTCTATTTTTCAGTGATGAAAATATGTACCATAAAATAAAATGCATATAATCCAACATGTCCATTGATTGTGATTGTCTTTGTTCCAATGAGTATAGTTATATATAATCCATCCAATAACTTCAATAAATACAAATTTTAAAGTTTTAAATAATACCTTTGCCCTTCCGTAGACTTGAAACTTGAAACAGTATTAAACAGTAATAATGATTCTTAAAAAAGAAATATTTCATATATTTATCTAAAATGTTTATACCTCAGATGGGCTTAACATGTTTTTGTATTATTTAATAAATTGTTTTGGTATTCAATTTAAGTATCAATAACTTCTATTGTAATCATGTGGGTCTTTCCTCCTTTAAATGAACGGTGAATCATGCAGCATTTCAGTTTATTGAAATTTCCCCCTTCTTTTGTTTTGTTAGTGTCATTAAACTAATTTTTAAATAAATGTAAATTTAAAAATGAAAATTTTTGACATTACCTTTAAACTGAAACTGTTATAACATAAACTGTATAAGTATTAAAAAGAATCTTTACCTGTAAATCTATCCTGATTTTGACATTTAATTGTTAATTTTTAAGAAAATATCTTGTGTGAAATGCTAATATATTGTTTCTTTTTCTCAAAAATAGATAAGTATGCATTACACATAGTGTTTCAGAAAAAGTGTACAAACGCAAAGGGCTGGTGGAGGGACTAGGGAAGAAGTTTTCATCAATGAACCTTGGCATCTAAGAGGTTGGCACTTGGTGGTAGACTGTGCCAGATCATGTGGATGTCTGTCATGAGAACGGAATACCTATGTGCACTGAAGTCATGTGGGAAGCTGCCATTCCCAGCTGAGAGGGGCAAGATAGAATTGTAAGTGAAAACTATGCAGTGGAGGTCACCAAAGGGCTTTGTGGATCAAATTTTTGATGAAATGGGTGCTAGAAGCGCTGAAAAATGACTCGATTTCAGCATTACACTTTTTTGTTCAATTCAATTCTATACTCGGTTATTCTGATTTATCACAGCACAGGGTAATGCTGAAATCAAGTTTCATTTTACACCTCTGTGCCTTTGTCGTCTAAATATGTGACAATTACAGTGATATTTTTTCAGTACTATGTTCTTCTAAGTGCTCTCAGTGTGAACCAGTGGCTGCCTGTATAACATGAGTGTGCATTGGTATTCTAACATTACAGATAACTTTTTTTGACATAGCCTATCACCAAGCTTCAGCATCTCAGACTCAAGACTCATTGATGAAAGCTGCTTCCCTTGACTCCCTCTATTTACTGCGTTTGTACACTTTTTTTTTCTGAAATACCCTGTATACATAACAGGAAAGAAATTGTGTGATAATTATTAATTTCATGAAATAGGTAAGTGTTTTTATTTACATCATTCTTCCATTCCAGTAATATAGAGGCATGTAGATTTTTTTATTGCTGATTAATAACGTTTAGTAAGTTGGTTTTAAGAATGATACACGGGTATCCATTTTCATAGTGTTTTTAACATATGTGCATCTGTCCCATCAAATTGGAATTAATTCACAACACAGCTAACAAGTTAGTATTATTTCATTTAGGTCATAGTTTCAAACTAAAATTTGTGAGTTATGATATGATGCAATGAAATTCCTCTCTCAAAATTGTTTAATGCTAATTAAATGTTTCAAGCAAGTAATTAATCTTTCATTGGATGGATTTCTATATTTTCTTTTGAGAGTAATATTTTCAAAAACAAAAATTAAATGTCAATTGTATTTGTTAGAGAAATAGAATATTGTCACACAATGACTCTTCTCAAGTGAATATTCTAATGTAGATAGGATTCTGAATTCACATATTAAATTGAATGCTGAATTCTATAATTTTCAAAAATATGTATTATCTTGAACCTCATTATATTTGCAAGCAATTGTATGTTTTCTGTAACAGTTTATGTTCAATTAACTGTTTATCTTGAAATTGGCTCATGTGAACAAAGAGCATGTTTCCATGTTTAGCCAACGTATATATGTTTAGACAAATGTATTTTGGGGAGTTATTTGTGATAAAATGTTCTGGTAGCTTACATTTGACACAACAGCTGTAATGAAATACTACATTTGAAAGTAATGTTTGTTTATTATAATTATATTCCTAGATATTTAAAATTGGGTTACAAAGTGAAACACACAACTTGGGCTTTTAAATGCCAGAAACTTGTGAAATAATAGCAAGTATTTCTTTAAGAGGCTATAACGTAGAATTTTGGTAGTTGTAATGTATTTTTTCTTATCTTTAGTTTTTGGTTTTATTTTATAAATTTTCTTGTTATTTTTGTGGATAGAGATAAAAAAATTGTTTATCTGCAAATAAAAGTTTTGTTACATTCTGTAGTTATAACATTTTGAGTATTGTATGTTCCTCTATATTAATTTGTTTAGAGTTTATGCTTTATAACATGTTAGAGAAATAGTTTCATTTTAATTAGAGATATATTAGTAAATCTCAAAGTTTGAAGTACAAATCAATTCTAAGTATTTCATGAGAATATCAGTATTCAAGAATGGCATGCAGATTTATTTATTGGATGTTTTGGTTATTTAGTATATAAATATGCTTGAGAATACCCATTGGGAAATTATGTGTTTGTGTTTTGTTAACATATTTTTCTAAAGTGTGTAAAAAAAAAAAGTTGTATTGCGCATGCAGAAAAAACTGGAGAGTGTCTCCCCACTCTGTTTTCTGATCCTGTTAGTTTGACTGCCAAAATTTGTAATAAAATGTATTAAATGAGATACTTGTGAGTAATTACTCCACAAGGTGTTTGTAACAGAGTATGAATAAATTATTTTTAAATTTGTTCTGTTGATAGTGTGTAGAGCAACATCATTTTTTTTCTTCCTCTGAAACAGCAGCATTTATGAGATATCCAAAGATTCTCTTTTTTTGTTTCAGTGGTAAACATGTAGACCTAGCTTAATATTTTCTGAGCACACATCTAGACTTTATGCAAACAATATTGATAAAGTAAATGTAATTTTGATGACTTGTAGGCCTATACGTCTATCATAATAGTGGAATGTTTACCGTTTGTCATTCATTTCTCTTTTTTTTTAATTTCTCGGATACGTAGAGTAGATAAAGTATTGCAATGCTGCAAAATATCGGTATCAAGATTTTGACAACAGGTTATGGATATCACTGTTACCTAAAATATGATTTTTGAAAATCGTCTAATTACGTTCGTCATTGGACAATACGAGCGCCTAAACGGCTAAATACGATATTCTCAGGAATAGATATTACCTGATCGACGTGTCCACACTGGAGGCCCTGCGAATTTGACATTGATCTTTTAGGTTTCGGATGTACTTTACATATCCCCTAGAACACATCAAACTTTTTCTCAAAAATTGTTTCAGATTGTTTCTTTATTTTATTTTTTGCTCGAACAGCAAAGTATGCTTGTAAAAATAGAGAAGGTCCAATTTTCAGTAAGCTCAGAATATTAGAGAAGCACAAATATAAAAGTCTTCCGACGCTCTCCTACAACTGCGTTCCTGGAGATTTTTTTTATTTTCTCATAATTACTACTTACTAAGAGAAAGTTCTGTAATGCAGCAGGGCATGACCGATTGCAAAGTGAAGCGAAGTGTGCAGGAAAAAGCGCGGTTTTCCCACAGAAAAATCGTATAAATTTGCGGTCAAAATAAAACATTAATTTATTAATTTTAAAAGAGAATGCATATTAACTAATAGAACAAACCATATCTTGAGTTAATCTAAAATACAACATTCCACGACGTTTCGGCCTCCCCAGTTTTGGCGTGTTCGTCGTGTTAATTTTTTTTCAAAAGTAGATAACCTAAATCGACGATATTAAAATAGGCCTAAACCTCGTGGTGAAAAATATCACGCGAAAACTATATTTTCGAATCATGGTAGATGACATTATATAAAAGCCTCTGAAGAAGGTTTGGTCTGCTATTTTGGTAGATTCAGAGAATATATTTGAAATTATTGGACACTCCATATTGCAACTCCGACATTTCAGCACGAAGAGAACAATGTAGTTGGTACAATGAAGTAAGTCCAATTTTCATTGAAACTACTGAATTTTCGAAAATTGAAAAGTTTAAAATCGTTCCACCCCTTCCACCAACAACACTTTTGAAGATCGGCTTTTTTCTAGTGGAAATTCGTCCGTCAAAATTAGATCTTCAATTAATATTACGAACATTTGTCTAATTACGTGATGAGTAGTTTTTATGTGATTTTGAGTGGAATAAAGGTAATTAAAAAGATTTACTCCAAAACAGCCCCCCCTTTTTTTAGAATTTTCTTAGTAATACGACATAGGATCCATATTCATTTTATATTCTGGAACTTTGAAAATTACAAAAGTTAATGTTTTTCTAATCGGTCGTACACTTGCATTAACGAAGTCGCACTAACGAAGTAGAGATACTTTATAACATGAAATGTATGACAATATTGGATCCTCATATGATTTCATTTACATTTTCTAGAAAGTGTTAGTTTTCGCGAAATTTCACGTGAAAATGTGGTGTTGCATGACAATATTATATATATATATATATATATATATATATATATATATATATATATAAGATGGCTGCAGGTTTTTTATTTTATTTTTTACGATAGAGCAAATTTCTCTTTTAAACATTGCGCAGGTCCAATTGTAAAAAAAGAAAAGATGTATCGTAAAAAAAAAGACAAAAGTCATCTTTAAGAAAATTTCAAAAATGTTCTAGGGGCTTCAACTACCCTGCAAAAAAATAAAATATCCCTTTCAAATTTGTGACATCCTGTCGTCCATAGTGGGTGGATGGAGAATGGAAGACATTTTGAGAAAAGACACTTTTTCGATGTAATGGACCTGCAAAACGTCGATGTTGACTATACTATTCTGACTACCCAGGAGTCTAATTAAAGGAGGACTATATAGGATTGAGATTCATTACACCGGTCTGCGTCATTTTTTAAGACTAATATTTTATTTGTTTCTTTATGTGTTTTTCACGCTGATTTCACATCTGCAATTGGTATTTCCGCATCAGCTCCAGTTTTTTTTTCTCTACAAGTCAATATCTGTTTTTGTCATTTTTGGCCTTTATTAGATGTTAATGCTAACACGAAATATTTCTTTTTTTTTAAGACAGATTGTTATAATTAGTTGACACAATTCCGTAATTACACGTTAAAGATAACTAAATTTCATCAATTTACAGGAATAGAAAATGTAAAAATTACCCAAATATATTTTGCTACATGCGTTCTAAGTGACGTTGCCAGGGCAATGATCAAATATTAGGAATACGGCATTTGTGAATGCCAGCTGTTGCGGTTATTTTGATAAGAAATTGAGAGATCAGGACGGGACCTTTTGCTCAACAGCCATAGTGTCTAAGGCGTTAAGAAGGCTTATGCTATGGAACAAGGTAATCGTAAATGCAATTACCCTTTTATTTGGTATATGTACGGAGTGAGCGGAAGGAAAGGATAATTTAACTTTTTAATATATTGCTACTTCTGCATAACTAAATTACAATGTAATTAATGTCAAGGCTCTTTATTTTTTATTTCAGAGGTAGAGACTTTATCAAGGTCGCTGGGCCATCAATGGTCGTATCATGGTCGCTGGACAGACTTTTGTTGGTGACTAAAAAGAGACGAACCTGGAGCCACATATAAAAGAAAAGAAGCTTAAGTAATCATTGCTATAAAATTGTCTTATGTAATAAACCTTTACAATATAATAAGGTGAAATAGCTAAATGTATTTCAATTATTCACATTTATTAATCATGAGGGACGCATATAGAAAGTTTATGAGAGGGTACCAATTTTTTACTCGATATTTACATTTAAAAACATAAACTTTTATATTAACAAAGATTGCGCTGAAACTATTATTATTGTATATTTTGTTAAATCATTTATTTTATGAAGGTCAATAATAATATATTTTATACAATGTTCTATATTATAACATTGATGCGTTTGTGCTGAGCTTTATTTTCGACGTTTCGAGCGTGTGAGTTCGCTTATCTTCAGATCTATAAAGATACATTATATTTTCTATAACAGTTATTAACATGCCATTGTAAAATATAATTACATAAATTTCCATGCGTTAAATTTGTCTATATTAAGAACAAGAATTTAAGAAAACAGAGTCACTTACAGGAGCCACTACGCAGTATTTTTCCTGCAGCTTTACATAGCCCTCTCTTATTAAGGAGTAGATTCACGATAATTGTAAGAAAATGGTACGCATGTATTAAGCGTGCTGTGTTCTGACTGTAAAGATTAAGTACAAAATTTGTAATTGCGTTTGTGAACATTTTATTTTTACATTTTGAAAACTGTGACATTGCAAAAACACGTCTAGCTAGTGTCTGTGAAAACTACGAAAAATTCCAAAATCTGCATTCGGCGTCAAATGCATACCCTTAAATTTTTCAGTTAATTAACATTACACACCTAGCTTAAATTTCAAATAATAATACAACTGCCTTACCGAACATTTTGAGGACTCACGAAGGACGATTTCAAATATAATTTGAGGACGGGCAAAAAATCGAACATTTATAATTTGCGGCGATTCAAACTTTTGAGTATGTTTAAACAAGAACATTTATCAAAAACTCTCTAAAAAATGTACACTACTTGAACACTGGAATACAAGATGAAACCACCCACTGTAATTCGTCCTGAACCATAGCGTAGAAGCACACGCGCCTCAATTATTTCTAAGGGTAATTACCAAACCTGAGATGCTTTTCCTTTTACTTATGGAAATTGCAGTAGCAGTCCCTGTAATCTCTCTGTTCTATGTCTCTATAAACTCGGTATTCCAACTAGAATGAGGCGATAATTATTTATCAACAGTCGTGCATTTGGGTGAAATGTGCAGCGGAAATGTCACTAAGTCCTATACGGTCTTTAAACATTATATCGAGGCCTTTTAGAGTATCGCCTATAAATATCAAACAAAAACATTCATTGTCATTAAATGTCATACCGGTATTCAAAAACTTAAATGATTCAGCATGTTCAAGGTATGAGTAGATATATGATTTTAAAATAAGTTTCGATTGAAAGAGTATTAAAATCCATTTGTGCAAAACAATGAAAGAAGGTAGTAGTTAGAAGTGGTGGGTCTATTTTGTTTTTTGTTATGTTTTCTAAGATTTTAGACTTTCAAAAATAAATGTGAATTGTTTATACAACGGATACCTCGAGTACGTTAAATATTGGAAAATAGAATAAACGTGTGCTTTTGAGAATATGTAGTTAATTTATTATTGCGTTATATTATTTGTGACAAAATCCATCTAATTTATTTGTTTTCAATTTTTTTGTTTTGTTTTCTCTCCTCCAAATAATCATTAAAGTCATTCAAATCGGTATTTGGAGAGTGCATAAAATAAGTGTATTACTTTATTTAAAATTTTAATAAATTATGAGAAATGTTTTGCAAGTTGTCTGCTACTGTTAGTGGACTGTTTATAATGTGCTTTTAGTTACCAGAAATTGATTGGGTTATTTCATACTTCAAAAGAAATTGTGTAAATACTGTTTATATGTGGGTTTTGGCTTGTGTTTATAAGCGAATTTTGACATAAAGTTGCATTAGTAGGAAGTGAATGAACAATCAGCAATATTTTCTTTTGTTGAAAATAAAGTGAATGTAATGTTAAAACTGACTAAAAATTGGAGTAGTTGCCATTTTTGAACAATGGCAGGTGACTGCAGTTTTCATTGAGTGTTTAAACTGTTGTAGGTAATGTTTAAATGATGTAAGGAATTCGATATTTCGGAAAGGTTGCAATGTAAATCATACTTTTTTTTCTTCATCTTGTATCGATTGTAAACCTTTTGTCCCCATACTTTTTAGTATTAGACAATAATATAGAACCTATAATATTTTAAAATGATAACCTAATTGGTATTAATAGATTCGGGTGAAGTTTACGATACTCGCTCATTCCTCGCTCATATCGTAATATCACGTCACACTCTTGTACTAATACCCATTAAATCGAGTGTCATACAGTACTTTTTTCCTACTAATGATAACTGTTATTAGTTAAACTGGAGGGCGTGCGCAGTTTACCGTTACAATCTCTCATATCTGTCATATCTTCACATATATGTCTTGGCACAATGAAGGACGCTTTAGAGCAGTAAATGATTGATTACTTCTCAAACACAAACTTCTCTGTGATTGGTCAATCACCTGTTTTATACTGAAGCTGTTTCATAATGATTACCATTATGTAATGAGCTGCAGCAGCTATCTATTTAGAGAATTATAGTACAATGTGGGTAGAAAACATTTTTTATTAATATTTCCTTTTACAATCAGACTAATAAATGTAAATTCAATTCAAGCAGTAATATAGCAGTAGTTTTGAAGGTTCTAGTTATGTCTTTTGCTATTAGACATTTACACAATTTTATTAAAAAAGTGTTTAATTGCAAGGTATTTATATTTAGGAAATTTTAAAACGTTGCTATGAAAACTTAGTGACACCTGCATTAATATGAACAGCAAAATACTTGGAGTTAATTGGATTAATTTTATTGTTCTTGAAATGTTGAAGGGGAAAGGATACATAAATGATGCATGATATTAAAATCTTTTGTCCTAACAGATCTCCAACATATCTACGACAAGTCTGTGCTCTGTGTTCACCTTCAGCTAGTTACAGAACAAGAAGAAAATGTAAAGATCAAGTGCCTTATTCAATTGATTCAGAATGTACTTCCTATCAAGTTAAGAAACAGAACTCATTAAATTCCAAAGAACACATTGGAAATTGGTTAGGTCCAGATCTTTCTCTTGATACACCTGATAGACCTAATCTTCCAGATGCAATTCGCAAAAATGGAATGAAATATTTCCTTGGAAATGGAGCATTTGGGACTGTCTTACGAGGAAATTATAAAGGTGGTTTGGAAACCAAAATAAATATATATCCAAATATGGTGTTATAATAATTCTTAAAACTACTTAATTCTAGGAAAAGAAGTTGCGGTTAAAATTGTGCCAAAAATGAAAATTTCTTCATTGAAGAGTGAAAAAAATGCTTTACACATTAGTCATTTAAATATTATCAAAATTTTCAAGATAGTAAATGAGCAGGATTATGGCTTAGTATTTATGGAGAGAAATTTTGGGCCCAATATGCATGACCTTTTACATCAAATGTGCATATCACTTACAACCTTAAACAGAATAAGGTATAAATTTATCATTATTTTGTTGTTGTTATTATTATTATTATTATTATTATTATTTATTATCATTATTTATTATTATTGTTGTTGTTTTAGTTATTATGAATATTATTATTAATATTGTCAGTGGCATAGCTTCAGCTGGTGTTATCTGGAGCAAAATGAATGGTATCCCCCCTAAATTAAATATAAAAATCTTTTACTGAATAGTTTATGCATTATTTAATGAAGATACAAGTACATTTTTACATGGCATTCATTTATAATATATTAAAACACTGTATGTAATTCAGAGTAATAAAAATATAATTTTTAAATAAATAATTTCAAACAAAGAATAACTAATCAACAAATGCATGTTTAAAAAAACAACACTTTTTGAGATTTAAGGACAACATACTTATCTATAATTTCATCAAAATCAATGCTTATTGCAAGTGAAAAATAACAAATAAAAACATTCGAATTGTGTACATTGTATGCTTTTGTATTTCTGTGTTAAATTATCTTTCTGAACAACTATATTCATTCCTTTTGAAAATAATGAAGAATTTACATGTTTCTGGAGTGTTTATATATTTCTGCATTGCGCTCTTGAACGAAGTGCTCGCTAACACCGGAGGTACACCTTTTGCAGATGTGGTGTAGGATCAGTGGTAGATATAACGTTCATGATAGCTTGTTGAAAACGGGAGTATCCCGGAAAGTCAGTGTATTGTTACTACACACAGCGACCATCAGACTATTGTATGCGAGATACAATATCAAAGAAAGCGTTATGTTGGACCGAGATATAAGATGAAGGGATGGAAAGCTAAAGCTTTCCACGAGGAAATATTCCGCCTTTGTTTGGAGAATTTTTTACAATCAGGGTCAGCAGAGACAAAGGTTAGCCAAATTATGAACTGGATAACCGAAGCTTGTGATGCATCCGTGGCTAAACAGGAACACACCACGGACGTTTACCAGATTTCTGATGGAATGAAGACATTATTTAACAGCTCCGTTACTGCCTTCGGGCCAGGAGACTGTACCAGCAAGCACATTGCAAAGACATCTTGTCCAATTGCAAGAACAATAAAAATTGGCCAGAAACTGGTTGAAAACTTCAATCCGGGAAAGTAAAAATCTTTGCGCCAAAAATCTGTGCGATGAAGTTGATAAAGATGTATGGGTAGACCATACAAGACGGTCGTGGGTAAGTTTATAAACTCGCATACCATGTATCCAACCTGCGTTGATATTCTTCGGGGAATTGTGACAACTTTATTGCCACACCACCCCGGCGAACCAACGAACATCATGCCACTTGATGCCGAAATGATACCACCAGTCACTACGGATGAGCTCCTGCACCTAATCAGAAGAATTGGAAATACCATGGCTCAAGGGTCGGATAGTATCCCCTACATTTCCCCGAAGACTGCGATATTCTTTCGTTGTGAAGTATTCGTGGACCTCTACGTCACATGTCTGAGAGAAGGGATATTTCCTGATAGATGGAAGAAACAACTAGTACTTCTTCCGAAGGGGAAACAACCTCACGAAGAGCCGGCGTGTTATCGGCCGCTGTGCATGCTCGATACCCCGGGTAAGGTGTATATATATTGTAAACATCAAGCCATCGTGGTCACCCCCGACTCACCTCACCCGAAATTTCGCAAATGAACCCTTAAGACAATTTTAAGCATATTTTTCTAATAAACTATTGGCATATTCCGAATGGTTGAGACGCAATAACCTAATGAACAAGTCGTTGCTGCGGTGGACAATACCTAATGCGAATGATGCTGGCTTGGCGAACAGGAGCGAAAGAGAGTGACTGCTCGTGGGTTTGCGTATTTATGAACGCACGCTCCGATGTAGGAGTCGTCCCTCCTCTCCGACTGATTCTACGCCATTTTCCTGCGCTGTCCAGCGAGCACCACGGGCACCAGTTTCCTTGGCAGTGGGCGCGTCCTTTTCGAACTGCGCCGCGATCGCTCACACGTTCTGCTACAGGCGTTCTTACGACGTGTGGGCATGTGGGGCGAACCTACTCACACGCGTTCATTACTATATATATATATATATATATATATATATATATATATATATATATATATATATGGTGACTGTGTGATCGGGGAGGAAATGTCGAAACTTGCAAATCTCTTAAGATAATTTTAAGCCTAATTTGTCTAATAAATTACTGGGATATTCAGAATGACTGAGACGTAATAAGCACTCAAAATTTTTTTGAAAAAATGCTTTCTAGGCAAAAATTTCCATTGCAAAAGCGTAGAAACACTCCAGATCATGTAAATTGTTTATTATCATATATTCGATCAGAAAAAATGCCCAGAAATAAAAAAGCACCCATTTTACACAACTCTACGTTTTTTTTATTTCTCGGTTATTTTTTCTTCCTGATAAAGTATATATATTTGTTTTATAAATAATAAACACTTTACATGTTTATGGAGTGTTTCTATGCAACTGCAATGCGAAGTTTTGCATAGAAAGCATTTTTTCAAACCAACGCTTGTTGCTCATTTAACTTCACAAATCGATACAACTCGACAAATACGCGTCGTACAAAAATGTATCTCAGACAAAAAAAGATCTTTAACGGCGAAAACCGCTTGACCTAAAATCAAACCTCGCCCCCGCTCCCTGGAGGTGGGGTGGGGAATAACTTTGAAATCTTAAATGGGAACCCCCATTTTGTATTGCATATTCAAATTTCCCCTATAAATACGTAAGTGTTGTCTAAAACATTTTTTGTGTTTCGTGATAGATGGCGCCGTAATCTCAAAAGTAAAATTTTCGCAATTATTGAGAAATTACACTTTGGATTGAAAAATAAACACCTGCTCAATTTTTAATAAAAGTATGTAATGATTACAGTTAAGAACCCACCCCACCCTCGAGGATTGGGGTAGTTAACTTTCAAATTTCAAACGGGAACCTCCATTTTGTTGATTGAATTAGATTTGAAATTTGCCTTCGCGAAGTATTATTTCGAAGTGGCTCCCCGCTCCACCCCCAGGGAGCGGGGCAAGGTTTTATTTTAGGTCAGGCAAATATCCCCTTGGAGATATTCCTTTTTTGTACGATGCGTATTTTTCGAGTTTTTAGGTTAAATGGGTCACTGTGTATTATATACAGGGACAGTGTACAAATTATCGCCCCTGTGCCTTATTTTGCCTGCTCGTGTTTCCAAATATATGGTTTCTTATGGGAAACTTATAGTTCTGCCGTATAGCTACTGTAGCGTCGTGCACAAACATAGATGCAAGTGACCATGTGCTCGCCGCATGGCAGACCACTTGGGTTAAGGGTGGGTCGTGAGGATGTGATACAGCGTAAAATCCAGTGGAAGAGGTGGGCGCAGCTAGCCTAGCTAGGCGACTGCGACGCTTGACCGGGCCCTTTCCTCTCCGAGGAGTCGACCTGTGCGGATCGGGTGGGGTGCGGACTGCGTGCGCATAGGCAAGGGCCGGCAATGTACTTTGTCGTGAAGTAGTTAGACTCAAGAGTCGTGTAGGAATTCTGCGGTGCTTCACAGTATCGGATCTATTCAATATTTAAGTAGAGGATGTGGTAGCCGTAGAATGAAAATTACTTCTAGAAGTGGGGTCGATTTATTTCGTTTATGTAACTATTGTAGATAAGGTTTATTTCCGTGGTGGATTCATTATTAATTAACTAGCGTTAAGTTAAACCCACTATCGTCTGTGTATTATTGCACCCTGCATGACGCCACACTACATGCAGTGCTAACCATCAATGTAATAGTTTTCGTAACAACTACAATATAGTGCCTGAAGGTTATTTTGCGCTTGCAAACTTTTTTCTTCTGCAACCAATCAAGTTAATTAAAGGTAAGTCATTTCATATCACAATTTAATCAACATTAACTAATAGTACTATAAATAAGAATCAAAATAAGTAATTACTCACGAAGAGAGCTATTTTTGGTACTGAGTAATTCGCATTTTTGTGCTATGTACAATGTGCTCGTAAGTGTGCCTAAGATCCAAATTCCGCCAAGGTAGGCGATATTTGCATAACTTTATATTATTGTATTTTTCTCATGCCAATCTATGAAATAATAAATAACAAATTGAATTCTCTTGATATTAAAATGACATATACCTTGATACATTTGATGATGGGGTCTTAACAGAATCCCACTTCATGGAAGAAAAGGAAAATAGCCGCTCAAGTCCAGCTGATGGTGGCCGGATAATGCCGGAATTGATGCCTTTTGTCAACCAGTCAATGACGACGGGTTGGCCATGCAGATGGTTAGATAACATACGCAGAATGCTGGAGAACAAATTTCATCCCCATCTGATTCAGTTACTGCCGCTGTGGTTAGTGTGGTCACGGTATCACCTCAGGAAATAAGAGCTGTATCTCTAATAAAACCACCTTCATGAAAACGAAAGGGCGGGGAGAGTACTAGTTTTAATCAGCTCTACATACAAAAAAGCTGGAAAATTGTATACTGAAAAGCAAAATAGTTAGCTAAAAAGTCCTAAGCCATCAACCAGCGGGAAACATAAAGATACACGTAGCCGACAAAAGGCAAAACCAAATCAACAAAGAATGAAAATCATAGCTTCCGTCAGTGAAAGTTTGTGATCTTCCTCGAGACTCGAGCAGTGAGACTGACGAAGATATTAGTGACATTGAATCGATTAACCCCATTTGAGCATTCAGCAATAGACACTATTCAGATGACTTCTTCGGACAGCAGTGGTTACTCTGCTCAACATGTTTCAATTGAAATCATATATTTTGTGCAGCAAGTGAGGAAGGAAGGAAATATCTGTGCACTTATTGCAGAAACACTTAAAACATAGCTTATGTAGCAACAGAAAAAATAGCGTTATTTCAAAGTATTTTTTCTAGCATTGTTTAAAAACTCTTAATCTAGCATTTTTTAATAAATAACAAACTACATAAAAACTATTCGTTTTGTTTTGACATGTCCCCTAATTCCACCTGATGGG